GGATTCTGACTTTGAAGACTTTGGGCGTGTACCTGGAATTGTTGGAGCTAGATCCCAAGGTAATTCTAGTTTTAGTTTTGGGCTTCATTTTCTGCAACATCCTTACTAGCATTATTTTTCACAGGTGTTTTTGATGGTGGCCACGATGTCTGCTGTGAGCTGAATCTCAGTATCAGTTTCATTTCCATCACTCTGATAGCTAATAAAAATAAATATTTTCCATACATTGCTGAACGTTTCTCTTTCAGGCACTGGCTGTTCATTTCATTTCTCTTCTTATTAATTGCATGGTTTTTCTGGTAATGTTTTAATTCTTTATGTCTTCTAGATACTAATTCTCCAACAAATGTATAGTGTTCCATATTTTTCTCTCCTCCTGTAAGCTGTTTATTGACTCTTACATTTATGAGTATGCACTTTTCTTTTTTTTCATTCATTTTACGCACCAAAGATTCCCCTCTTACCTTCTCCCATCTCCCCAGCCTCTCCCTTAGAACCCAAGGCGCACTCCCTACACTCGCCACAAAAAGGCAAGGCCTCCCATTGGAAGGCACAGAGTATGCACTTTTCAAGTCATGTATATGTTCATAATTCATTTCCCAAAAATGAAGATCATTTTAGAAAGTCTTTGCAGCTTCCTTTACCCTGAAGTCTTTTCTCCTTGATGGTCTGGAGTAGTTGTGAGACTTAGACTTGGGACTTTAACTCATTTGAGCTGATGTTGTGCAGGGTAAGATGAGTGGATCTAGTTGTTTCTTGTGTGAGAGCATATCTAGCGCTCTCAGCACCATTGACTGAGGGGCACACTCTTCTCCAGTGTGTGTTAGTGACACTTTCATCAAAGACCACATGGCTATATCTGTGCAGGTTTATCTCTGGGTCCTGAAGTCTAATTCACTGGTGTACACATCTATTTTTTGGCAATACATAGCACTCTTTGCAAGTTAATATAATAATTTTGTTCTGAAATATAATTTTAGTAGATATTTTGATGCTTTTGACATTGTCTTTTCTGTATTTTATTACTATCTTGCAGGTTGTGTTCTAAATATCATGTACATTTTTCTATTTCAGGAAAAATTCGTATTTTGTTGTATTTGATAAGGGTTAAATGGAACTTGGAGATTGCTCTTTGTAATGCAGTTATTTTTAAAATATAAAATCTACCTAGTTATGAGAATGGGAGAACTTCTCATCTTTTGTTTTTTTCAAATTTCTTTCTTCAATTTTATACAGTTTTCATTTTGGAACACTTACCTCCTGGCTCCTGTTTATTCCAAAGTTTTCTTTTTTAAAAAATGCTACCATGAATGGGACATTTTGCTGTTACTTGTTCATTTTTTTAGTACTTTCATTGTTGGCTTACAAAAATGCCACTTAACTTGAAATATTGATTTTGTAGCCCACCACTTTGCTGAACATTGTATGTAAGATATTTTCTGGTAGAATTTTAGGGTGCTTAATATTTAGGATACTACTGTCTGAAAACACAGATAATTTGTCTTCTTCATTTTCTGTTTGCATTCCTATTCTGTCTTTCTCTCACAGAGCTCTAGCTAAGATTTTAAGAATGCACAAAATGGATACCCTTGTCTTGGTATCAATTAAAATGGAAGCAGTTTTATGTTCACTCCATTTTTTTTAGGTTATATTTGACATATCTTTTCTATTCCTAGTTTCTTCAGGGCTTTAATCATGAATGATGTTTGATTTTTCTGTATGCCATTTTGACTCAATACAGATGGTTATCACATTCTTGTCCCTAAGTCTATTAATATATTTTACTGCATTTACTGATTAGTAATTACTCAACCATCCTAGTATCTATGAAATCACACCAACCACCATTGTAAACTTTATTTAGTGTGCTTCCTTTTCAATGATTTAATATATTTATGAATTCATTAATTTTCTAACCCAATGTCCTGTAGTTTGACATTGACATATTCACCTTTTTTCTTCTTAGACCTGTAAGATACACTTCCTTGTCTTCTTCCCAATTCAAGTCCTCTGCTTGGTTTTGTTTTTTATACCTGGGAAAGTCCCATCTGTGCTGCCCATAAACACCTGAGTGTGGACACTCTGGAGCAAAGCCAGCCAAGGAGTGGCCACATACTTATAGAAAACTGAATCTATTATATCAGAAGCCATCAATTATTCATATGTATTCAGTTTGTAGGCAACCACAGCTGCTGTAACTTTTATGAATGAACCAATCCTGTTTTGCTTTGGTCTCACCTCACCTCTGACTCTAACAATCTTTTCACAACCTCCTCTGCAATGATCCATGTGTCTTGGGAGGGGTGTGACATAGAAGTTTCATTGTTGGCTGATCAATACACTGATACTTGTCCTCTGAACTTTGATCAGTTGTGATGCACTGCATTAAACATTTTTTTTTTTTTGGTTTTTTGAGACAGGGTTTCTCTGTGTAGCTTTGTGCCTTTTCTGGAACTCTCTTCGGAGACCAGACTGGCCTGGAACTCACAGAGATCTGCCTGCCTCTGCCTCCCGAGTGCTGGGATTAAAGGCGTGTGCCACCACCGCCCGGCTTTTTTATTTTATTTTATTTTATTTTATTTATTTATTTATTTATTTATTTATTTATTTATTAAAGATTTATTTATTATGTGTACAGTGTTCTGCCTGCATGTATGCCTGCAGGCCAGAAGAGGGCACCAGATCTCATTACGATGGTTGGGAGCCACCTTGTGGTTGTTGGGAATTGAACTCAGGACCTCTAGAAGAGTAGCCAGTGCTCTTAACCTCTGAGCCATCTCTCCAGCCTCCTTGCATTAAACATTGTTGATGGCACAAAGTAATTATTGTTATGATAAAGTGTGAGGACAGACTGGTCTAGAGTATAGTAGTCTCTGGAATCTGCAAACCCCAGGGACAGCAGAATATAGATCTTTGTGAAGCAAGAAGGAAATATGAGTGTGTTGTGTGGATTGGCCAGGAACTAGATGCCCTTCCCTTGAGGTAGCTGACCTTTGAAAGCTGATTAATTGAGGTGTCTGGTAAACAGAAATGTGCTTTATCAGATTCCCATGGAAAGCTTGATATAGGCTTTTCTTCACTCAATAAAAATTATTCTATCTAGTCATTGTCCTCCGGTTCAGCACATTGTCACCAGCACTCCCTTTGGATCTAACAGGCCAAGCCACCATCGTTCTCCCAGGATCCATCTCTAAGCATCAACTGCCAGCAAAGGAAAAATTGGTTTTCTGTCATGGAGTATCACTGTATATACAAACCACACTGAAGGGCAGGCCGCATGCCCAGCAGTAGATAACTATTATATCAACGAAATCAATGGTAATTTTGGAAAATTTTTATCTCCCAATGCTGTAGTCAGGCTTTTTTTTAAAACCTTGGTGGTCTTTTGCTTATACATTATGGTTTCTGATTATCAGTTTATTTGAGTTCTACATTTGTGCAAATGTTGGTGTCTCTACATATACATGCAAATCTAGTGTTTTTACTTTTTTCAATATGTTTACTTAGTTTTTTCTCATTTGTTTGTTTTTTGTTTGCCTGCTTCATTTCTAAAGAGAGAGGGAGAAAAAGTCATAAAACTGGAAGAGTTAGGAGATGAGGAGTCTCTGTGAGTATATGAAGCAGGAATACACCTGATCAGAATATATTCTGTAAAAAAAAAAAGTATTCTCAATTAAAATGAAAGCTAAGAAATACACTGGCTTTGTGGTATCCATATTTGATTTTAGTAATTTAAACAATTTCCTTCCTGAATTATTCTATCACACACTAGTCATTGGAGAGTTTGTTTTGTCTCAAATGCTTTCATATGTTCCTTATTCATCATTACTAATGATTTCTAGTCTGATAAGGGAAAATTATTTTAATGCTTTCATGTTTGTTAAGATATTTTTATGGTCAAAATGTGATCAATTTTTAAGAGAGTTCTCATAGCTTCAGAGGATGAAAAACACTTTTCTTCTGGTAATTGTGAAGTTTTTTCCATGTGTTTTGAATCCACTTGACCTACAATGAAGTTTATCTTTGGAAGTTCATTGTTGATTTTTAGTTTTTATGAACTATCTATTAATAAAAGTAGAATATTGAAGAAACCATTCAATGTTGACATATGGATTACAGATAAAATCATACACACACACATACACACACACACACACACACACACACGCACGCACGCACACACATTCACACATATGGGGAGTGAGGTAGAGATGGGAAAAACTTGTTTAATATATTTTCTTGTTTTTTGAAGAATTCTTTTTAAAAGTTTAAAATAATGAGAGTTTTGAATGGTTTTACTATATGCCATCTATAAAGTAAAATTATATTGCTAACAATCAAATAGTATTATTTAATAAGATGTTAATTAAAATTAAGTGATTTATACACTTTATAATTCGAGAGTATATATGTGTCATGTGCAATTGTTAAACAGGTAGATAAGAATGAACATCTCAAAAGCAACATTGAATTTTCTTGATTTGGCCACCAAGGTGCACAAAAAACATGATTTTTTTATTTGAATTATTTCTGGTTAGAGTACTTAGTGTTCTCTTATATTCCAGGATAAGTAAATTTGGTCTCATAAAAGAGAAATATCTGACAATTGAAATCCTTAGAATGTCAACAGATTTTGGACAATATATCCATATTGTCTTGCAGCCTAAGTCTCCAGAGCTCACAGTCAAGGCTGACTCTAGTCTTCCCCCAGCAAGCATGACACACACAGCTATGCACAGGTGCTCATACACAACTATGCACAGGTGCTCAGCTGAGGTGTTGCCCTGCATAGAGGCAGAAGTGCAGAATAGCTGACATCACAGCCACATCATCCTAGAAGTCTCAAGCTGAGCCATGCATAACTACCATTGTGGAAATCAGGGATCAGGTTCTGACGACCTCTCCCTGTTGCTAAACCTTTTGGAACAACTGAGGAGGAAACTAAAATCAAAGCAGGTGAGACAGTGAAAGATTTCTTGAGGTCACATGGACACACTTACCTCAGTCTGCCTCAGAGTTCAGGTTCCATTGTGGGGACCCATGTCCTTAGGAGAATCTATTTCTAAGCTTGCACATCAATGAAGATTCTAGTGGAAGGCTTGGACATCACCACATTGCTACAGGATGATTGTGCTCAACTACGGAGGAGAAACACAAATTCAAAGAAAGGTTGTTAAGGAATTCCTCATGACTATATTAAATTCACGGATTAAAAGAAAAACTTCAGCTGAATTATCCTAGCAGCTAAAGTTTGTAACATATAATTTAGAGAAAATCATAACCAAAGAAAGGAAAATAGTACCATTCATCTAAGAACAAATGTGAGAGCAGGTGGGAAATTCTTCTGGTAAAGTACCTAAAAGGCTGTGTGTCATATGAATTTCTACTTCTGTTAAGTGGTATACAATCCTGAGCAAGTCTTTGCTAATGACTTTGTAGTAGGTATCATTGGGAGTGTATGGATCTGATGCTGCAACATAGTAAATGAAAGACCAATGGGATTTAGGAGCCATATTGAATTATAACTTTGTGTATGTGTAAATATTATATGTATTTTTAAAAGACATGGAGTCAAATGATAGATAAATGAAAATATATTACAGAAGACAAGGACATATGCATCTTGCTATATAAAGACACTCTATACAATTACAAATACATCTGTGTCTCTACCTTATTTTCTTAGTGCTCCCCATGCTCTTATGTCCCAAGCTCATGTTATTCCCAGGGCTTGGAAATTCCAGAGCCCACCAGCATATAGGGGAAGAGATTTTGCCAATTTAGTTTGTATATTTCTTTACCTCTTCTCAATGATCTTTGTAGATTTAGGGCAATCTTACATCATGACAATTTACAACCATATTCATCTCTGATATATCACAACTATTCCTACTAAATGAGAAAAGAGAAAAAGTTCTAAATACATGTTCATATATATTTTATGAACACGTAGAATATAAATGAAAATCAGGCATACAGAGAGAACAGAGGTCTAATGACCACAGAAACACATTTTTCTGAATTACTAAGGAGTGATTCTATTTTAAATAACCTGCCTTCATCAGTCAGAGATATAGCTATTATCCCTCTGTGGCACATTTAGGAGTAGACAGTTTCTGTTACTTTGATTTTATAGGTAAAATATATCAATCCCTTTACCTCACATGAACCTTCTTCCTGATTTTCTCCTTACTAATGTGCCATCTGACCTCACTACTAATAGCATGCCATTTTCATGAAAGAGATGGGTTGGCTTGTACAGAATATCGAGAAATATTGAAATAGTAAAGAAAAGGTGGCATATTCCTGAATAAGAATTACATGAAAATTCATGAAATATATGATATAAAAATATATACTGAGACAAATGTAAAGAAACAGATAAAATAATGATGTCCACTCTCTTGGGACACAACTGATTGTGTATAATTATTAATGCATATAAATTTTGACAAATATTGGGCTTCCTTGGGACATTTTCATACATTTAGTTTACTGAACTACTTTATCGTCTTTCAGTTGCTATTTTTAAAGATTATAGTTTTATCTTAAATTGTGTGTGTGGTTGGATATCTGTGTGTATCCGTGCATGTTTCTGTGTGTGTATGTGTACATTACTACATGTTACTTTTGAGGTAAGAAGGGGGTATTAGGTTTTCTGAAGGTTGTTGTGAGCTGCCCCAGTTAGGTGCTAAAAGAAAACTCAGATCCTCTGTAAGAACAGCATGCATTGTTCACTGATGAGCCTTTTCTCAAGTACTGTGATTAAAGAAAAAGCATCCTCACTTTGTATTTAGTAGTTTGCACAGGTGTCTTATGTAAATAGTCTGTGATCAGTTGATGTTGTTTGATTTTCATAATTGTCTTGTCTTACATTTTCCTGAATACTATATTGTCTTAGTAAAACTGGGAAATGACACAGCCCAAATAGATATCCACAAACACACCTCAACATATTTTGTTGTTGGCCTAGATCTCTCATGCAGGATTTTACTGGTATAGATGTTTAAACTGGATTTACAGAGGCACAGTTGGGAAAATGCAGAGATTGAAGCAAACATGGAAGAAATTCAAGGTCAATATGTGCCACATGCTGCACATACCACATTAAGAAGGAATGGAAATTAAAAATGATGGAGAAATGATTGGTTCCCCTTCAGGTACTCTAGAGGTATGCCAGAGTTAAGGATCCAGGAATCCACTTCCTCCCTTCATGCCTTAGCCATGGTCTAAGATAGATACAACATGCCTGGCCTCATGGAGGAAAGCTGGTGAGGAACATCTGGTCATCACCTGTCACATGAGCATGTGGTGTCAAGAAGCAGGGCCTCCCCTGTCCAGAGAGTGTCTGACAGATTGAGACAGAGCACAGGATCAGAATAAAAGAGACAAGGCACAGGGCACCTCCATCCATTCAACTCCAGAGATACCCACTGATCCTGAGCTGCCTATCACCTTGGTAAGTGTGCACAGGAGGCAAGAGCAGAGACTTTTCCAGAGGGCTTGCCAGTCTAGATCCTGAGAGGGGACGGGGAAGGGTTTTTCTGACTAGAGGACATATTGGTAGATCTTTAAATGTGGTGAAGAGTGAGGGGTAGGACAATGGTGGCAATGATACACACAATCAACAGTTTTGAGGGACAATTGAATGCTTGGAGCACTCTGGCTCGGGAGAGAACAAAGTACCTTCAGTGTTTAGGAACCCTCAGGACAAGACACTGAGCACAAGAAGTGTATGCAACCAGGTAAGTTTCAGGGGGAAGTTGGTCTGTGAAGAAATGCTGCCCCTCATTTCCAAAGAAGACTTCCAGTCAGGAATGGGCAACAGTTTTTCACTTTGAGTTGGTAAAGAAAGAGATCCCTGGTTCTGGGATCTGTTCACACACTTCTCAGATCAATAGGACACCACAAGGCTGATACTGACCTTGTCACCCTTAGCTTAGCAGTTGATGATTTGGATACCTCTGAACTCTGACCTCACAATAGGCCATACAATTCCAAGGCAACCTTGTGAGGGTTTACATATTTTTTCTGTCAGGGGCTCAGCTTACTGCCTCAGTGACATGGAAAGTGCTTTGGAATACTGACCTTAAACTAAAAACACCTTGAAGTAATGGTAACTCTTTCCCATTACAACTAGTTTTTTTTTCCTGAAATAATCCATGTACTGGCACATGTAGAAGAAATAAGACCAACAGATGTTTTACAAGGTCACTAGATATTTATTCAGTGTGGCTGGATACCAGGTGACAATTAGTATCTCACTGGCATGGATATCTAAGTTTCTAAATTCATGATGAACATGGTATGGTAGTATGAATGATGTTTCCTTGATTATCGGTGAAATTTCGGGGTGGGCTGAATGGGTAAGGTGGTCACAGTGTCTGTTGTGTGACATGTGTGGGATTCTCTTGCAGCTTCTGAACACCCACAGGCCGAGATGTCCTGCCAGCAGAGCCAGCAGCAGTGCCAGCCCCCTCCCAAGTGTGCCCCCAAGTGCCCTCCCAAGTGCCAGACACCAAAGTGTCCTCCCAAGTGTCCTCCCAAGTGCCCCCCTGTGTCTTCCTGCTGTAGCCTGGGATCCGGGGGCTGCTGTGGGTCCAGCTCTGGGGGAGGCTGTGGCTCCAGTTCTGGGGGCTGCTGCAGCTCTGGGGGTGGTGGCTGCTGCCTGAGCCACCACAGGCCCCGCAGATCTCTCCGACACAGACACCAGAGCTCTGGATGCTGTAGCAGTGGTGGCAGCAGTGGATTCTGTGGCAGCAGTGGTGGCAGCAGTGGATGCTGTGGCAGCAGTGGCAGCAGCAGTGGATGCTGTGGCAGCAGTGGTGGCAGCAGCTGTGGCAGTAGCCAACAGTCTGGTGGCTGTTGCTGACCTGGGTGAGGAAGACTTCAGACAAGTGTTGCAGGAGGAAGCCATGTTCAGAAGACTGCCCATGCAGCTGCTCTCTCTCTCTTCCTGAATCCCTCCTTACCCTGCCCTTGAAGATGATCAAGTCCCCTATGAAAGGCTCTGCATTCCACTCACCAGATGACAATGTTCCTCTACCTCTTTGTTACAAATAAAAAGCCTTGCCAACCAGTCCTGACCAGACTCTTGCTCATCTTCTCAGCACCATCCTCATCCTCTCCCTTAGTCATCTTTTCCTGCACACAGAGAGTGGCACTCACAGCTCTTGTCCCCTCCTAGACGCATCTGTGTTTCCTATGACTTTGTACCAACTGTTCCCCTGCATCTGTAAGAACTAAGGTGGTCCTTTCAATAGTATCCAGACTTGATAACTTAGAAATGACAGTCACTCCTCACAATAATAAAACCTGGGGACAAATCCAGTGTCAAGGTGAATGTTCACTATTAGACACTCATTAGAAGGTCGAAGATTCAATACTCAGATTAAACAAGGACAATCAGCTCATCTGTCAGTCTCTTCTCTTCTCTTTCATTTTTTTGTTACTCTTTCTCAGACAAAATTTGACCCTCAACTGCAGGAGTTACATCGTTTCCATCACTTTATTTTGTGGCTGTAACTGAGTTGTTATAATGTGGGAACTTCCATACAGCTGACCAATGACAGTGGTCTCATTCTTTCCCCTTTGCTGGTGGCTGCTGAAATCTTGACACTGATGAGATCAGTATTCTAGAGTGGATATGTGGCCATCTTGGCATGTGCCATTCCATACTTCTGTGATTTGTTTTTCAAATCAAGTCTCTGCAGTGGCACTAAGACAATGGCTACATCGAACTGTGGTCTCCTTGAGGTCTCTAAGACTGTCCTCTGTCATTGTAGGAAACAGGTTTGTCATCATTGTCCCACTGTTACTTCACACTGGAGTGACCCGCAGATGCTCCCATTCACCCTGTCCACCTCCTGCAATAGTTTTTATACACATATATAAGTAAATTGTTAGAAAAATATCTTATACCATTTAAGTTCCAGTGATATATATATAAATTAAACACAATAAAATTCATAAATTTACATGTAAAATTTCATTATTTGGCAAAATATTTAGAGTTGTATGCCTCAAAGTGCAATGTGCACACTGAATATTTTTGAGACCTATTCTCATGAACAATATATAAACAGCAGAACCTCACTAATATATATAAATGAAAATGTAATGAACTTATTTTCAATAAATTAAATTTTATGTGGTAGAAAGCACCACTGAACTGATTGAAAATTTCAAGTTAGAAAAGTATAATGCATACTATACTTTTATGTGTATGCTCAACTATTTTACTCTAAACTTTATATGTGATAGAAAATGTGCAATATTTGTCTTTCTGTGTGTAAATTTTTAACTTGACCTGACTGCTGAGTCCATCTATTCTTCATTTTTACAAATGAATATGATTCCATTGATCATGCACACCACATCTCTTTGTCCACAATGTGATGATCATCTAGGTTGGTTCTATATGGTGGCTGTTATCAACAATGCAGTGACACATGTCCATCTGTAGGGGTCTCTGTGGGATGCTGACTTGATTTCTTTGGGCATGTACCTGGAATTGTTGGAACCAGATCCCAAGGTAATTCTAGTTTTATTTTGAGCTTCCTTTTCTCTAACATGCTCACCAGCATTATTTACCACAGGTGTTTTTGATGGTGGCCATGATGTCTGCTGTGAGCTGGAATCTCAGTATCAGTTTCATTTTCATCACTCTGATAGCTAATAAAAATAAATACTTTCTGTATATTGCTGGACATTTCTCTAGAATACTGGCTGTTCATTTCATTTCTTTTCTTTTTATTTGTATGATTTTTCTGGTAATATTTTAATTATTTTTGTCTTCTAGATATTAATTCCCCAATAAATATATAGTGTTCCATATTTTTCTCTCTTCCTGTAATCTATTTACTGACTCTTACCTTTTTGAGTATGTACTTTTTTATTAAAATTTTTTTCATTCATTTTACACACCAATCAAAGACCCCCCCTCTTACCTTCTCCCACCTCTCCAGCCTACCCCCGGAACCCACTGCTCACTCCCCCCACAAGAAGGCAAGGCCTCCCATTGGGATGCACAGAGTATGCACTTTTCAAGGTCATGTATATCTCCACAATTCTCTTTCCAAAAAATGAAGATCATTTTAGAAAGTCCTCACAGCCTCCTATACCCTGAAGTCTTTTCTCCTTGATGGTCTGGAGTAGTTGTGAGACTTAGATTTGGGACTTGAACTCATTTGAGCTGATGTTGGGCAGGGTCAGATGAGTGGATCTAGTTGTTTCTTGTGTGTGAGGATATCCAGCGCTCTCAGCACCATTTACTGAAGGGACACAATCTTAACCAGTGTGTGTTAGTGACACTTTCATCAAAGACCACATGGCTGTATCTGTGTAGGTTCATCTCTGGGTCCTGAAGTCTAATTCACTGGTGTACACATCAATTTCCCGGCTGTATGCAGCAGTCTTTGCAATTTAATATAATAATTTTGTTCTGAAATATAATTTTAGTAGATACTTTGATGCTTTTGACATTGTCTTTTCTGTATTTTATTATTATCTTGTAGGTTGTGTTCTTCTAAATATCATGTACAATTTCAATTTCAGTAAAAATTTATATTTTATTGTATTTGATAATTGTTGAGTTGAATTTGGAGATTGCTTTCTGTAATACAGTTATTTTTAAAATATTAAATCTAACTATTTATGAGAATGGGAGATCTTCTCATCTTTTGTTTTTTCAATTTTCTTTCTTCAATTTTACACAGTTTTCATTTTGGAACATTTAACTCCTTGTTCCTGTTTATTCCTAAGCTTTTTTTTTTAAATGCTGCCGTGAATTGGACGTTTTCCTGTTATTTGTTTATTTTTTTTTTTAGTACTTCATTGTTGGCTTACAAAAATGCCACCTACCTTGAAATACTGATTTTGTAGCCCTCCACTATGCTGAACATTGTATGTAAGATATTTTTTTCTGGTAGAATTTTAGGGTGGTTAATATTTAGGATACTACTATCTGAAAACACAGATAATTTGTCTTCTTCATTTTCTGTTTGCATTCCTATTCTGTCTTTCTCTCACAGAGCTCTAGCTAAGATTTTAAGAATGCACAAATTGGACACCCTTGTCTTGCTACAAATTATAATGGAAGTAGTTTTATATTCACTCCATTTAGGTTATATTTGACATATCTTTTCTATTTTAAGTTACTTCAGGGCTTTAATCATGAATGATGTTTGATTTTTCTGTATGCCCTTCTGACACCAATGGAGATGGTTATCACATTCTTGTCCCTAAGTCTATTAATATATTTTAATGCATTTACTGATTAGTAATTACTCAAGCATCCTAGTATCTATGAAATCATACCAACCACCATTATAAACTTTATTTAGTGTGCTCCATTTTCAATGTGTTAATAAAATATTTATTAATTCATTAATTTTTTAACACAATGTCCTGTAGTTTGAAGATATTCACACCTTTTCCTCCTAGTAAGACCTGTAAGATACACTTCCTTGTCTTCTACCCAATTCAAGTCCTCTTCTTGGTTTTGTTTTTATAACTAAGAAAGTCCCATCTGTACTGCACAAAAATATCAGAGTGTGGAGACCTCCTCTGGAGCAAGGCCAGCCTAGGAGTGCCCACATACTTATAGAAAACTGAATCTATCAGAAGCCATCAATTATTCATATGTATTCAGTTTGTAGGCAACCACAGCTGCTGTGATTTTTATGAATGAACAAATCCTGTTTTGCCTTGGTCTCACCTCACCTCTGACACTTATTGTCTTTTCACAACCTCCTCTGCAATGATCCATGTGTCTTGGGAGGGGTGTGACATAGATGTTTCATTGTTGGCTGATCAATACTTGTCCTCTGAACTTTGATCAGTTGTGATGCATTGCATTAAACATTGTTGATGGCACAAAATAATTATTGTTATGATAAAGTGTGAGGACTGACTGCTCTAGAGTGTAGTAGTCTCTGCAATCTGCAAACCCCAGGGACAGCAGAATATAGATCTTTGTGAAGCAAGAAGGAAATATGAGTGTGTTGTGTGGATTGGCCAGGAACTAGATGCCC